CCCCGTCCCAGGACCCCTCTGGCCTCTAGCTGCAAAGTGGGGCCCAGGCCAGGGTGGGAGCTGTGGGGCTGGCGGAGGTGCCTCCCAGTCCTGACCCAGGAGGCTGGTCTCAGCCCCTCCATCCCACAGCCTCCAGCCACACCTGGAGGCATTCAGCCCTGGGCCTTGGAGCCTCTGGGGCTGGCCACAGGCTGAGGTCTCCCTAACAGGGGAGGGGGCTTCCTGGCGTCTGGACCAGGTCCTGAGGATGGCAGGGAAGTGTCTGACTAAGCACACGCCTCCAGGGACTCTGACTACCCTGAGATGGGGGGCTTCTCCTGTACAAAAGAGGACTAAGGAAGACCCAGAAGAATGAACGCACTTGAACTGGGAAGAATACTGATGTCCCGAAGACCGCCAAAGAAGGAACAAGCGTGTCCCGGAAGCAGCAGAGGTGGAATGCTCGCGCACTTGAGATGTTATCAGGAGAGACCCGTCCCTGGAGGAGGAGATAATCCTGGGGAAAGTGGGGGGTCAGAGAAAAGAAGGAAGACCCTCAACACATGGATCGACAGGGGGTCTGGAAGAGGAGAGTGGGGCAGGACCGGGCAGCGTTTCGTTTGGTTGTACATGGGGTCACTGTGAGTGGGAACTGACTCTATGGCAGCTACCCCACCACGAAAGAGGAACCTGTCCTTTGGAATCTACCCAAGAGATTCGAAAGTAGGGCCTCCAACAGACACTAGTGCAGCGAGGTCCAGTGTGGCATTACCCACAGTGGGGTAAGTGTGGAAACAACCTAAAAGCCCATCAAGAGAAAACGGATAGACAACACGTGGCATATCCATACACTGGAATATGCGGAAACCAGCTGGCGACGTGTCAACGCTGACTCACGGCGACCCCATGTGTGCAGCCCTGTGAGCAGAGCTGTGCTTCAGGGGGTTTTCAACGGCTGATGTTTCAAACACTGACTGCCAGGCCTTTCCTCAGACGGGCCCTTGGGTGAACTTGAATCTCCAACTCTTGGTTGGCATCTGAGAACCTTACCTGATCAACCATTCGCACTACCCAGGGACTATAACAGAATACCACGCAGCCATACAAAGTGCAGTGAATCACAGTACGGCTTTGCTAGCCATAGTCTCTGTAACTCCCAGCACATCACTGGGTGGTACCATGCAAATAAAGTGTGTAAAACTCTGATGTTGGGATTGGCTAGTTTTGTCCCTCTGCCAGGCATAAAATGAGCCCTCCTAACGGCAAAGGGGGGATTCTCACTGCCCCCAAGAGAAGAGCCGGAGGGGAAGCAGAGAGCATCCTTGGGCCCCAGATCCCTGCACTGGGCCTCCTTGGCAGAGACCATCACATGTAAGTACAAATTTCCTGAAGATATTTCAAAAACGGTTGCAGCAGGACATGAACAAGGAAATGCCAGAAATGCAAGCCAGACTCAGAAGAAAAGGACGTGGAACAAGGGATATCACTGCTGATTACCAGATGGATCTTGGCCAAAAGCAAAGGAGACCGGAAAGATGTTTACTTGTGTTTTATTGACTATGCAAAGGCATTTGATTGTGTGGAGCCTAACAAATTGTGGATAACATTGAGAAGAATGGGAATTCCAGAACACTTGATTGTGCTCATCAGGAACCTGTACGTAGACCAGGCAGCCGTTGTTCGAACAGAACAAGGGGACACTGCATGGTTTAAAATCAGGAAGGGTGTGCGTCAGGGTTGTATCCTTTCTCCACACTTATTCCATCTGTATGCCGAGCAAATAATCCGAGAAACTGGACTGTATGAAGAAGAACGTGGCATCAGGATTGGAGGAAGACTCATTAACAACCTGTGATATGCAGTCAACACAACCTTGCGTGCTGAAAGCGACGATGACTTGAAGCATTTACTGATGAAGGTCAAAGACTACAGTCTGCAGTGTGGATTACACCTCAACATAAAGAAAACTCTTCACAGCTGGACCAAAAACCAACATTATGATAAACAGAGAAAAGAGTGACGTTGTCACAAGATTCACGTTACTTGGACCCACCACCCATGCCCAATGGAAGCAGCAGTCAAGAAATCAAACAGCATATCGCATTGAGCAAATCTGCTGCAAAAGATGTCACTTTGAAGACTAAGGTGCGCCTAATCCAAGCCACGTTATTTTCAACAGCCTCATATGTGCGTGAGAGCTGGACAATGAATAAGAAAGACCACGAAGGACTGCTGCCTTTGCCCTGGGACGCTGGCGCAGAATACTGAGTGTTGCACCGGCTGCCAGTGGAAGGAATAGATCTGTCTTGGGGGAAGTACAGCCAGAATGCTCCTTAGAAATGACAATGGCCAGACTTCGTCTCATACACCTCAGTCATGTTGTCAGAAGGGACCAGTCCCTGGAGAAGGACAGCATGGTTGGTGAAGTGGAGGTTAGCAAAAAAGGGGAAAACCCTTAATGAGATGGAATGACACGGTGGCTGTGAAGGTGGGCTCAAGTGTGGCAACAATTGTTGAGTCTGGAGCAGACCCGGGCAGTGTTGTGCGCGGGGTCCCTGTGAGTCAGAACCGACTGGATGGCACCTCACACCCCCAACATAGAAGGAATGAAGTTCTGATATATGCATGACACGCATGAACCCGGAAAACACGACTCTGAGTGAAATAACCAGACACAAAATGGCACATGTCTACAATATGTATTATATGCTACAGATATGAATAAGAATCCTACAGATTCCCCTTAGATGAGGCAACTGAACTAGGCAGACTCAGAGACAGAATGGAGGTTCCAGGAGGTGGGGACAGGGTCACTCACTGCTTACAGCAAGCCTGAAGGACGGAGCGGAACCGAACACATGCTTTCCAAGGCTGTCAGTCTCTCCCGCAGAGTGGCTAGCGACCTTTCTGGTTCACAGCCGTGCGCTCTACCACTGCGCCACCAGGGTTGCAGTGGAGAGGGGAGTGAGGAGTTATTGTTTGATGGGGAGAGTTTCACCTTGTGATGAAAAAATCTCGAAACAGACATTAGCGACGACTTACACAACACTGATTTGATCTCCCACCAGTGTACGCACGAAAATGGTTAACATGACAAATTTCGTTTCAGGTAAAGAGGTAAAATAAAAAAGAGGAAACTGAGGCTCGGAGAGGTTGAGTTAACTTGCTCAAGGTCACACAGTCACTGGGTTTCAAGCCCACATCTGTAGGACCCATTGCTGTAGTGTGCGGTTGAGTCGATTTTGACCTATTGTGATTCCAAGTGACCTATCAGAACTGTCCCATCGGGTCTTTCAGGCTGTAATCTTTACAGGAGTAAATTGCCTGGTGTTTTTCCCATGCTGCTGTTGGGCAGGCCTGAACCACTGCCCTTTCAGTTAGCAGCTGAGTGCCTGTTTCCTCACAAGGGCCCCTTGCATGACCCAAGAGAGAAAAACCAAAGCCACTGCTGTTGAGTCGATTCCGACTCATAGCGACCCTAGGGGACAGAGAACTGCCACATAGGGTTTCCAGGTCTGTGGATCTGTCTGCAGTGTGACTCCTCATCTTCTTCCCGCAGAGCAGCTGGTGGGTTCGAACCGCCCACTCTTTTGGTTAGCAGAATGCTTTGACCACTGCATCACCAGAGCTCCTTGCATGACCCATAAGATTTCCTCAAAGGCTCTCAAGGGAGGGGGCTCTGTGCAAGTGGGTGCTGTGGGCATGCCCTGTTTGGGGTGAGGGGGCACCCTCTTCCCCTCCGTGTTGAATATCCCCAAAGGGACAGGAGCAGCCCCACCCCAACCAGCTCAGAGCTCTCGACACACACACACAGAGACTGAGGGTAGCAGCCGGTCTAGTGTTCTCTGCTTGCGGTCGGGGCAGGCCTCCACCCAAGACCTTGTGGGCAGCCTGTGGTCACGCTGGCATTCCAGGGCCTTCTGAGCATGTGGGGAATGTCTCAGGAAAGCCATGGCCTTTGGAGAAGCTCAGAAAAGGGAAGTGTTCTTAGATGGGGGAGAGGGGAGGAGGGGAGGGGGATGTCCTCGGGGACTGGCCCCTTGGAGGGAAGAGCATTGGGACTTGGGGACTTGCAAGATAGAGGGGCCGGGTGGCCAGAGTCCTAAGACATCAGGGCTTTGGGAGAGAGGGTCCTATTGACCTTGAGCCTGGAACCTGGTCTATCCATCAGGGCTGGGCTACCCATCCCCCTCCTAAGTGGGAGCGACCACCCCTGCCCATCCCCCTGCCTGGTAGACCAGACCTGTGGCTGGTGCATCACCGGAAGGGCTCTGTCAGTCATTGATTCGGCCACTGTGGCTTCTTTGGGCCCCCAGGGAGGGATCTGGGTGGCCTTCAGGACGCCCTGGGAGGGAAGCCTCAGGCGGCAGACCCCTGCTCTGGAGGGCCAGAGAAGCCCTGGCTGGGTGTGACGAGGTTTCAGGCCCCACCCATCCGCCCACAGGCCCTCGCAGAGCCCAGTGCCCATCCCGCCCTCTCCTGCGGGCCTCTGGCCTCCCGACGCTTCTCCTACCCGTCTGCCCGCAGCCTCCCCCCAGTCAGCTCTCAAGCCACCTCCTCCGAGCAGCCCCCGGGCCTGCCTCCACCCGGTCGCGAGCCCCACTGGGTGGTCTCGCCGTCTCGGTCGTAACCTCATACCTGCCTCGTCCTTCTGCCCCGCCACGCTTGGGGTCAGGGGCCTCCGCGGGGTCACCGTGCCGGCGCACGTCGCTACCGGTGAGTCCCCCAGGCCGCGCGCCGCGGGGGTGGCTTTGCGGGGGAAGAGGCAGAGGGCTGGCACTGGAGAGGGGACGGGGGCCTCTCCTGGCAGCCCGAGAGGCTTTGGCTTACAGAGGCCGGACGCGCCACCGGACTTGGAGACGCCAAGAACGCCGCTCCAGGAGCTTTCCACGAGGCCCCGCGTCCCCGCCCCGCAGAGCGCGCTCCTCGGCCCGCGACCCCCTCCCTCCCCCGGGCCCGGGGCGGGGCGTGGGCGGGGCCTGGTGGCATGACGTCACCCACCCTATAAAGCGGCTGCGGCGCCGCGGGTCGGCTGTGTGGAGCGCTGCAGCGGGTGCGCCGAGCAGGCAGCGAACAAAGGAGTAGGCGCGCCGGGGAGCGCACGCCCGCCGCCGCCACCATGCCCGCCAACGGCACGGCCGAGGCGGTGCAGATCCAGTTCGGCCTCATCAACTGCAGCAACAAGTACCTGACGGCCGAGGCGTTCGGCTTCAAGGTGAACGCGTCGGCCAGCAGCCTGAAGAAGAAGCAGATCTGGACGCTGGAGCAGCCGCCCGACGAGGCGGGCAGCGCGGCCGTGTGCCTGCGGAGCCATCTGGGCCGCTACCTGGCGGCGGACAAGGACGGCAACGTGAGCTGCGAGCGCGAGGCGCCCGGCGCCGACTGCCGCTTCCTGATCGTGGCGCACGACGACGGCCGCTGGTCGCTGCAGTCCGAGGCGCACCGGCGCTACTTCGGCGGCACGGAGGACCGCCTGTCGTGCTTCGCGCAGAGCGTGTCTCCCGCCGAGAAGTGGAGCGTGCACATCGCCATGCACCCGCAGGTCAACATCTACAGCCTGACCCGTAAGCGCTACGCGCACCTGAGCGCGCGGCCGGCGGACGAGATCGCCGTGGACCGCGACGTGCCCTGGGGCGTCGACTCGCTCATCACGCTCGCCTTCCAGGACCAGCGCTACAGCGTGCAGACCGCCGACCACCGCTTCCTGCGCCACGACGGGCGCCTGGTGGCGAGGCCCGAGCCGGCCACCGGCTACACGCTCGAGTTCCGCTCGGGCAAGGTGGCCTTCCGCGACTGCGACGGCCGCTACCTGGCGCCGTCGGGGCCCAGTGGCACGCTCAAGGCGGGCAAGGCCACCAAGGTGGGCAAGGACGAGCTCTTCGCGCTGGAGCAGAGCTGCGCCCAGGTCGTACTGCAGGCGGCCAACGAGAGGAACGTGTCCACGCGCCAGGGTGAGTGCGATGCGCGCGGCCCCCGCCGGGCTCTCCGGCCACCCCGCCCCGGGACGTGCGTCGCGCGGGAAGAAGGGGGTGCGGGGTGGGGCTCTGCCTGTCTTCCGGCGCCGCTGCGCCCCCCGCAGCCCCGGAGGGGGAAGGAGGGTCCCTTAGGCCCTGCCGGAGAGCTTCCCCGAGTGCCACTCCCTGAGTCCCCGCTGCATGTAGGTCTCCCCACTCGCTCTGGCGGCACAGTGTCGGAGAGGGGGCGCCCCCTTTGGTTTTCTCCCACGCCTCCCCTCGCCGCTGGGCCTGGTCGCTTCGGCGGCCCTGGGGAGGGTCGTGGCGCTCCGAGGGCGCGTCCCTCCTCCTCAGGGTCGCCTTGCGCGGGCCGGGGAGGGGAGGTCAGCGGCGCCTTTGGTCCCCACGCTCTGCGCCTGCAGTCCCCCGCGGGCGCGGCCTTGGGCACGGCCGCGGGAGGCCGGGCGCGGTCTGCTCTGCGGGGCGGTGGGTGGGGGCGCCCCGAGTGGCCGCCCTTTCCCCCGCCCCTTCCCCCGCGCAGAGGCCGCGGCCTTTGTGAGCAGGGGGGCGGGCCGCCTCGCCAGGCCCTCCCTCGTCCCCTTTGTCCTCTCCCGCGCTGCAGATGGGGAAACCAGATGCGCGCGCAGGGGAGGGCATCGGCGCGCTGTGGGGTCCCGCGCCGGACCCAGGCTCAGCGCGGGGGTCCAGAGCCTCCCCAAGAGGCAGCCTCCGCCGTCGCGCCTTGGGCCCCGCCGGCGTGGCGTGGGTAGCGGCCGCCAGGCACCCCGCCCTGCGCGCGCCGCCCGCGGCACCCTCCTCCCTCTGGGCGCACTCTACCCTGGGGGCGGCCTCAGGAGCGAGGAGACCCCAGCCTGGCGCCCTGGGAAGCTCTCTACCCTCGATTGAACCCCATCCCCGAGGGCTCCTGCCGAGAACAATCGACTGCAACCCGATCGGTTCTCTCAGGGGCCTCCCACCGGCCCGGCCATTTCCGACCGGCTGTGCGCCAGAAGCGAGCCCCCTCCTTCCCTTCCCCCAGACTCCGCGTCCCCGCTGGGCGCTTTCTCTGACTTGGGAGGTCCTCCCTCCTTTGAGGCAGGGGCCTGCGGGGATCTTGGCCCCACCTTTGGAGACAGCTGGAGACAGTCTCCTTGGTGGCCGCCAGCCTGTCCCCATCCTGAGAATAGTCCCCCCAGGCCTTCGTAGCTGGGAGTGGAGACAGAGACCTGGGTGGGGTAATGGTAATTCTGTTTTGATGGAGGGGGCAGTACCGCTGCCATCTTAGAGAGGAACCTTTGAAGGCTCAGAGAAGGGAATCCACCGGCCCAAGGTCACACAGCAAGTCAACAGCATGGGGAGCTGAACAGGCTCTAATCTGGATCCCTGCTGTCTCCCAGCCTCCAGGAAGCCACCACTAACTCAGTGCTGGGTGGGGCCTGATTCCCACCCATTCACCAGACTGAGGACTGGCTAAAGGCTGGGGCTTCAGTGGTGAACAGTGGGGCTGTGTGTGTGCCTGGACCCTCACCTGGGGGCAAGGACAAGATCAAAATCCCAGAGGTGTCAAAGGAAGGCCTGAGGTCCCGTGTTAGGTGGGGGCGCTGGCCCTTCTGAGCAGCTCTGAAGAGTGAGTAGAAGGTACCATGTGCCTGTGGAGGAGTGTTGTAAGCAGAGGGGACAGCCTGTGCAAAGGCCCTGAGGCAGGAGGCACATTGAAACCGCGCTGGAAAGTGGCATGGGAGATGGACTAGAGGGGCCACAGCCTGTAATGGGAGCAGAGACCAGTCCGTCCTTGCACTGCAGGGGGCCCTGGCTCTTGGGGCCTTGCAAGGAGCAGAGGGTGCTTGAGGCTGTTCTTGCAGCCAAGGGGCGAGCCTGGACAGGTTCCCCGTCTCCGGTAAGTCCTGCAGCATCGTGATTGTGATTCAGGCTGACGGGGCCGGAGGAGCGGGAACTGGGGCCGCCAGAGGCATTTGCTCACCTTTGAGCCCAGGAGAGGGGCTTCGGGGTGGGGTTGGGGCTCAGGTGGCTTGGGGTCCTCACCTTGTTCCCAAGTTCGCTGACCATCTTAGGATGGGGTGGCAGTGAGAGGGACCAGCTCCAGAGAGCCTAGGGGGCGGCCTTGCGAAGGCCGTTTTGGATGGGCCTGCGTGGCGTGGCGAGGAGGCGGGGCTGCACAGCACCATGAGTCGGGAACCTTCGCCCTGGAAGCTGAATGTGAATCATTTCAGGCCTGCACAGGCCGGGTCTGGGGGGCGGGCTGCTCCCTGCTGAAGCTGCAGTTTCCTGCCCTTAGCATGCTTCTGGCCACCCCACTTGGGCTGCCTTTGCCTATGTGACATCACCGTCGGAGGCTGGGCCACCAGGTCCGGTCTGGTGCAGCCTCTCCCTGCTCCTTGGGCCCTGGAGCCGCCCACACCCAGTTTCCCACCTTTGTCAGCAGCTTCTCCTGCCAGGCTTCTTGCCTCTGGCCAGCGGTGCCCTGGGTACTCCACGCCCCCGCCCAGGAACTGGCCTGGAGCCTGGCTCAAGTGCTGTGCCAGATGCCGGCTTGCTGGGAAGCTGGTCGTTCTGGGCTTTGCGGAATGTGTAAGAGTTCTTGGAATGAGGCAGGGAATGGTCTAGCCGGGACAAACCAAAAAACCAAACTCATTGCCGTGGAGTTGGTTCTGACTCGTAGCGACCCCTCCTTGGGTTTCCGAGGTGGTATCTCTACGGAAGTAGATTGTCTAGTCTTCCTTCCAACAGAGGAGGGATTTGATGAGGTCACAGGAAAGCAGGCTGCAAACGGGAGGGGAGGTCACGGATGATTCCAGGTCCCTCCTGTTTTGAACACGCTCAAAGGGAGTTTGGGAACTCCTGAGACACAGCTTTGTCTCAGCTGTGGCCTAAGAGCAATGGGGAGCCATGGAAGGTGGTAGAGGAAGGGATGCCTCCTCCGGCCACTGGCGAGATCACGGGTGGCTCTGGGACACCCAGGAATGTGTCTGTGGAAGACAGTTTAGGATAGGCCTGGGGTGGGGCAGGGCAGGAGATGGGGGCAGGGAAGTCAAGGGCCGTGAGGTGCCTGCCATCCTTGTTACCCTGGTTCCCGCTAGGGATGCGTCACCCTGGCTCCGTGGAGCAGCCCCTGCTCCCAGGGGCTCCTGGGGGCCTGTGACTCAGGTTTTCTCTGCCGCTGTAGCTGAAAAGAAGAATCCAGAGAAAACGGTGTTGCCATAGTAACATAGCTCTAATTAGAGTCTTCAAGGCCAAGTGGGGCCTTTCCCGTCTGGGCCGGGGCCCCTGCTGGCTGGGGGAGAGCTGGCTTTGCCCACCCCCTTCCCAGTTGGGTAGGAAGGGCTGGCGTGCACTGGCACCAGGCCCCACAGCTCCTTTAAAAGCATTGAGAGAGCCACAGGTGGGGAAGCCGAGGCTGAGGGAGGTGGAGGCACTTGCAAAAGGGGTCTTGGGGCCCCTTTGCGTCCCTTAGGGGTCCGCCCAGGCCTTTGGAGCCCAGCAGTTCCAAGCCCGAATGCAACAGCTGCCGGGATCTGAGTACCCAAGCGGACAGTGTTATGCAACCCACCAGCTGACCCTCAGTGTCTTCCCTCTGGACAAGGGGTAACGTTACTGCGAGTTTCTGGTGTTGTCGTGAGGTTTAAGCCCAAGTGTGTCATGGGTCCCTCACCCCTCGGCTGTCTGTGTGTCACACTGGGGTGGCTTCTCTGTTGCTGTGATGCTGGAAACCGTGGCACCGTTATGTCAAATCCCAGCAGGGTCATCCATGGTGGGCAGGTTTCAGCGGAACTTCCAGGCTCGGACAGACTAGGAAGAAAGGCGTGGTGATCGACCTGAAAATTAGCCAGTGGAGGCCCAGTGGACACAACAGTAGCACTGTCGGATGTGGTGCTAGAAGCTGGGCGGGGAGGCCCTCAAACCACACAGTGGGCGCAACAAGGGCCTCTCAAGCATGTCAGTGGTTGTGGAGACGGCGTGGGACCAGACGGCATTGTGTTCTGTTGGGGTCACCGTCTGAGGGCGACTGACAGGTCGGGCTGGAAGCCCTGGCTAAGCGCTCCTAACCACTGTTGTGTGGTGCCGTTGGGTCAGTTCTGACCCATAGCGAGTGACCCCTGCCCAACAGAACAAGACGCCGCCCAGTCCTGCCCCATCCAGACGGGCGTTGCCATGTTGAAGCCCGTTGTTGCAGCCACTGTGTCAAATGCATCCCGTTGAGGGCCTTACTCTTTTTTCCTGAGCTTCTGCTCACCAAGCAAGAAGACCTCCTCCAGGGGTCCCTCCTAATGACATGACCCAAGTCCAAGTCCGTGGGAGGCAGTCTCACCAAACTCACTGCTAAGGAGCGTTCTGGCTGTGCCTCGTCCGGGACAGATTTGCTCGTCCTTCTGGCTCTTGTTGCTAGGTGCTGTGGTGTTGTCTGCGACTCAGCGATCCTGTGCACAAAAGGAGGAAACGTTGCCCGGGCCCGGGCCGGCCCCACGATCCTTGCTGTGCCTGAGCCCATCGCCGCAGCCACCCGTCAATCCATCTTATTAGGGCCTTCCCCTTTTTCCTTGACCCTCCACTTGACCAAGCATGACATCCCTCTCCAGAGGTCAGTCCCTTCTGACAGTGCGGCCAAAGTAGGTGAGACGAAGTCTGACCATTCTCACTTCCAAGGAGCATTCCAGCTACACCTCCTCCTCCAGGACAGATCTGTTAGTTCTTTTAGCAGCCCATGGTCCTTTCAGCATTCTTTGCCAGCACCACAGCTCAAAAGCATCAACTCTTCTTGGTCTTCCTTATTCATTGTCCAGCTCTCGCATGCATATGAGGTGACTGAGAATACCATGGCTTGTGTCAGGCACACCTTAGTCCTCAAGGAGACATCTTTGCTCTTCAGCCCTTGAAAGAGGTCTTCTGAGAGTCCATGGTGTGTACAGAGTTCTTTGCCAACATCACAGTTCGAAGGCATCGGTTCTTCCATTCCTTGTTCGCTGTCCAGCTTTCGCACACTTTTGCACATACACTTTTGTGTAGGAGTGACTGAGTGTCAAAGTGACGGCTGTTTTTCTTTCTAGCCTCCATTGCCACAGGGCTTCCTGCATTTGCTGCCAGGCCAGGGCCCAGCTTGCCACTCAGCTTTTAGGCCGCTGTCCTGTCCTCACCCCACTGTCCCCAAATCCAGCAGAACCCACGGAGTAGCCTCTTGGTGGGGGTTCCCTCTGTCTGCTCCCTTTCGTCCACCATCACCTGGCCCCCCATGAACTGGTGTGGCGGCTGGGGACTGGGACCCCCCCCAGGGTAGGTTTCCTGGCCCAGAAGGGGAGAAGTGTGGGTGTGGTGCTCATTGCCCCAGTGCTCTGGGGGTCCGCCTGTAGAGGTCGAGGGCCCTTTTGAGCAGAACAGGGGTGTGAGAAGGGGGCTGTCCCGTGGTGGTCCCCAGCTGCCCTGTGACTCCAGCAGTGGGGGTGGGGCGGCCGGGGTGAGGTCTGAGCAAGGGAACCCTAGCTCTGATCCCATTCTTTTTTTTTTTTTCCCCTTTTTATTTATTTTTTAATTCATTTTATTGAAGTACAATTTATGTACAGTGAAATACACAAAACTAAAGTGACATGGGTCAATGCCTTTTTTTTTTTTTTCCTGTAGCATTCCCTCTCCTCCCCTCCCACCTCTGGTCCTGCCTGGTCCCATTCTTGATGGTGAGGGATGGTGGGTCCAGCCCACATTTGTGGGCTCTGCAGTCTCTGGGTGGCCACGCACATGAGTCTATAGGTGGAGGGTGGCTTCGGAGACAGGGTGTGGCAGGAGGTGAGAGCCACAGGGGCCTGTCTTTCCTAACTTTGGCTGAGGCCACCGCCTCTCAGCCTCCCTCTGGAAGCTGGGGTGACCATCCCTACCTCGTGGCATTGTGTGATGGGATCAGGAAGCTGCCGACCCAACACCTTCAGGCCTCTGAGTGACGGCTGTAGACTTCTGGCTGGCCAGCCTCAGTCCTCATCTGAGCAAAGGGCGGGACGGGCTCCTGGAGCGGGCGGGACAGATGACCCAGCTGCTGAGGTTATTAGAACCGGATGTTCTGTTTGACCCAAGGTCCTGCTTGCAGGTGTCGTCGGGAGATGTGGATACGCTGAGGGGTGGGGTGCAGGGACTTGGCCCCTGCATGAGAGGAAACCTGGGGGTGCCCCAGGGGTCTCTCGTGAGGGATCATGTGGTCATGTCCAAGGTGACTGAGTGAAACGTGTGATGAAGGATTACGGAGGAAAAAGCCATTTGCACATATGTCCATGCCTGTCAGGTGCGTGGTGGATGTTGCTGCTAGCTGCTGTCATGATGACCCCACACACAAATGGAACACTCTGTGGGCCTGCACGGCCCCACGATCGGTTGCGGGCCGCACCGTTGGGTCCACAGGGTTCTCACAGGCTGATTTTCAGAACAGGTCACAGGCTTTTCTTCCCAGTCTTACTCTGGAAATGCCACTGAAACCCGTTCTGCGTCCCAGCAGCCCTCGGGCCTCCCCGACAAACGGGTGGGGGCAGTACGAGAGGTGCGTTGGCTAGGAATTGAACCCAGTCCTCCCTCCTACCAGAAAAACCACTCACTGCCATCGCGTTGATTCTGACCAGTGGTGACCCCATTGGGTTTCTGAGGCGGTAAATCTTTACGGAAGTAGATCACCCACTCTTCCTTCCTTGGAGTGGCTGGTGGGTTTGAACCACCAACCTTCTGGTTAGCAGTCAAGTGCTTTAGGCACTACGCTACCTGAGCTCCTTTCTCCCTCCTAGGAGGTGTGAATTCTGCACTAAACCCCTACCGCCCCCCATTCTATTACATCTGTTGGTAAGAGTCTATACAAGTGGCTCTGCAGAGACTGGGGGGTCTATACATGGATATGAGCTGTGTCGTGGAAAAGACTAGAAGAGTGTTCCCCAGCTGTGGGGCTCATGGCTCTGGTGGCCTAGACTGCTAACCAGAATGCTGGCGGTTCAAACCCACCAGCCACTCCTCGGAAGGAAGGTTGGGCGATCTACTTCATTTTTCTCCTCGGAGAAAGGACTGTGGGCTGGTGGGTGTCTGAGCCCTTTAACCCTCACACAGATACAGGGGCCGACGGGCCATGCAGAGCCCCCCAGCATGTCGACCCTGGACGCCGGGTCCCGCCACCCTCGTTTCAACCATCTCTTCATCCGCCGGTTTTGGTTTATTTAAAGCACATCCCTGACGTTATGTCATTCCATCTGCAAACGCTTCCATATGTCTCTAGAAACCGGGCCGCTCTTACGTAACCACCCCTCCGCCAGCGCTAAATCCTCCGTGTCGGCCCAGGCTCCCAGCCACTTCCTCCGCGGCCCAGGAGAGGCCTTTTGTTTCTTCCAACGTTTTACTGTGATTGGGGTGAAAGTTGACGAAGCACATTGGTTTATTCAGCAGTTTATATACTGATCCCTGGTGACATTGCTCCCAGCCCCTCAACTGCTGGCACCCTCCCCACTTCCACCCCGTTTCCCGTCCCATCGGCCCAGCTTTCCTGCCCCTTCCCGCGCCCTCGGAACTTTGCTTTGGAGCCAGCACCGCCCTTGTGGCCTCTCAGGTGAATGTCCGAGGAGCACACTCGTCACGGATGTTAACTCCTCTTCCTCCTCTTCACTTTGCCAGCCTGGTTGGCTGTGGGGTGGTCTCCAGGGGCAGGTTCGGTTCCAGGTTCGAAGGCTGAGAGGGTCTTCACAGTTGGCTTGCTTGAGGCTTGAGTTCTGGAAACGGGCATGGCGAGTGGCCTGGGCCCGTGGCTGTGGAACTTGAGGGGCTGGCAGTGGCCCAGGGTCCCCCTTTATGTGTTGGTGTGTGGGGGTGGGGGGTGGGAGTCGGCCAGAATGAGCTGGGCGCTTCCATGTCCTGAGGCTGCCAGAACAAGAGAACAGAAATCCGTCGCCTCACAGTCTGGAGCTCGGAGTCCGAGATCAGGGTGTCGGCCATGTTGATTCCTTCTGAGCAAGCATCTGTCCCTGCCTGTCTCTTGGCTTCGGGGGTGGCCGGCAGTCCTTGGTGTTCTTCGGCTTGTAGCTGTGCCTCTTACAGTCTCTGCCCCTGTTGCCACATGGCCGTATCCCCTCTTTCATAAGGACAGCGCTCAGAGGGGAATAGGCCTGCCCTACTCTGCTGTGACCTCGTGTTAACAGACAGCATCTTCAAAGACCCTATTCCCAAGCAGGGCCGTGTTTCCAGGTTCCAGAGTTAGGTCATGAGCAGGGCTTTCTGGGAGATACAGTTGGTGGGCGTGGGGGCCCCGTACCACCTCAAGGCTCTCCCCACAGGTATGGACCTGTCAGCCAATCAGGACGAAGAGACTGACCAGGAGACTTTCCAATTGGAGATCGACCGGGACACCAAAAAGTGCGCCTTCCGCACCCACACGGGCAAGTACTGGACGCTGACGGCGACTGGGGGCGTGCAGTCCACTGCCTCCACCAAGTGAGTGTCCCTCGTCTCCACAGCGCCCCCCACTCACCTGACCAGCTCTGCCTGCCTGAGGGCAGCCCCTGACACTGTCCCCACCACCGCCCCTAGGAACGCCAGCTGCTACTTTGACATTGAGTGGTGCGATCGGCGTATCACCCTGCGTGCGTCCAACGGCAAATTTGTGACAGCCAAGAAGAACGGGCAGCTGGCAGCTTCAGTGGAGACGGCAGGTAGTGGCCCCCTGGCGCTGCCGTGCTACCGTGGGAGGGGGTCTGAGCACATGGCGGTCGCTCGCCAGCCCCGCCTGAGGCACGCCGGGTAACCTGTGAGTGCCCGGGCCCCCTGGTCATCCCCGCCCCCCCCTGCCTCCACGCTCACTGGCCCCCTCCTCCCCACCCCTCCCTGGACAGGAGACTCGGAGCTTTTTCTCATGAAGCTCATCAACCGACCCATCATCGTGTTCCGCGGGGAGCATGGTTTCATCGGCTGCCGCAAGGTCACTGGGACGCTGGACGCCAACCGCTCCAGCTACGACGTCTTCCAGCTCGAGTTCAATGATGGCGCCTACAATATCCGAGGCAGGTGTCCCTGGGCGGTGACGGGGGGAGGCCAGCAGGCGGGAGGACAGAGGTGGGCAGGTGTGGACATGCTTGAGTAGTGGCCCGAGGGAGGTCCCCGACAACGTGGAGGTGTCGGTTTCGATTCGGAACGCCTGAGCCCGGTTCGTGTGCCCAGCATGGCAGAAGCGTGTGGGTGGGACCTCACGCCCGTCCCTGAAGGTGTTACTGGAGGGAGGGGGCATTAACCCTTCAAGAGGGTCGCGGCGTGGAGCTGGGGGCGGTGGTCTGATGGGCTCCCTCTCCCCAGACTCCACAGGCAAGTACTGGATGGTGGGCGGTGACTCCTCGGTCACCAGCAGCAGCGACACTCCGGTGGACTTCTTCTTTGAGTTCTGTGACTACAACAAGGTGGCCATCAAGGTGGGAGGGCACTACCTGAAGGGGGACCACGCGGGGGTCCTGAAGGCCTCGGCCGAGACCATCGACCCCGCCACGCTCTGGGAGTACTAGGTGCTGCCCCGCCCTCCCGCCTGCGCCCCTGCCCTTACCCCGCGCCCCGCTGCCCTGCGGCTCTGGAGGGCAGACCCCCCCCTGCTGCCCAGACCCCCTCTGTTCGCTCCCTTGTCTTAGCTGGGCTCCACCACAGGTGTTGAGCCCCTTGCCTTTCAAACTGGAAAACCCAGAGAAAACGGTGCCCTGAGCCGTGGCTCCCTTGGGCAGGTCAGTGGCTGTGCCCAGTCACCGGAGGGAGTGTTTTGGGGCATAGGGTCCCCCTGCCCTCTTCTCTGCCCTGGGTGAGGCTGGTACCTCCTCCTTCTGACCTCACACAACTCTCAGCCTTATTTCCCTGAAGTGGCTGAGTCCCTGGGGGTGGTGTGTGACTGGAATCTCGTGCCCCACTCCCGGAGCCTCTCCCTGCCCCTTCGAGGAGCCGCAGCGTGCCCCAAACCTGCCGGCGGACCCTGCGGGTGCTGTCCTAGGCCCCTTTGCACAGAGGGGGCCGGCCCTGCCCACTGCATGGCCCCTGTGGTCAGGCTCCCCTCTCAAATCTAGTCTTTTCTTTCACCCTGGCCTGACTGGAAGCAAAAAACGACCAAATCAGTATTTTTTTTTTAAGGAAGTTTATTGCTGGAGGTGCCCTTGGCAAGCATGAGTGGTCCCTGAGGGGTCTCGGAGCAGCTGGTGGGGGTCAAGTGGGGCACCCCGCGTCCAGAGCCTCTGCCTCCACGCCTCCAAGGGGCTCTCACCTGGGCCCTCCCCACCTTCCCGCCCGCCCCGACCCTGGCTTGTGCCCCCACTTGGTGGTGCTGGGCCCCCCGCCTCACGGCCAGAGCCCCCATGGCGGGATCGGTGCTCCACGTGTATGACTGGAATCTTCCGGGATCCTGGGGTCCCCCGGGCTCTCCGTGGGGACGAGCTGCCTGGGCCCCGGCCCCACCCCGCCTCGCCGCCCTTGCCAGCCCCGCCCGCCGCCCGTGTGTCTGCCCTGCTCCTGCTCTGGGCGTCTCGGTCTTTTATTTTTTATGTCATTTGTATAACTTGGTGCCCATGATAGTAGCTTCAGACTGGAAAGAGCAAAATAAAGGAACAAAAGTCCACCCCGCTGCGGCCCACGTGTGTGTCCTAGGGGTGGTGGCAGGCGGGTGGGCCAGCCGGGTGTGGGACTGGGCCCGGACCCTGCAGGAACGGGCGGAGAGGGCTTCGCGAAGGTCTCAGGTCACCAGGAACGATACAGGGTGACTGAAAGGTGGAGGCAGCTGAACCCGGCACCCCACGGGCTGCCCCAGGGTGGGTGAGGGCGGAGCCAGGGGTCTGCGTGGGGTGGGCCTGTGTACCTCACACCTTGGTATTTAGGATTTAGAGATCATGTGAACAGACTAACGGGACCTCGGTCGTCTGGCCTCAGCACATGCCCATTGCACTCAAGGACTGCTGCCAGGGGCAGATACCGAGGGCCCCCTTTTGCCCCTGTAAGAGTGTGAGGCTGTGTGCACGGGCAGGAGCCCGAGTCCTCTCCACACACCCCCAAATGCCAGGCTGGTGTCCCCGTGGGCTGCAGACGGGCCCAGGTATGGGCGAGGCGGCCCTGGGAGGAACCAGAACTAGATGATAGAGCCTCCATCAAACCCAGGTGTCCTGAGCCCACCTCTGGGAAAAACGAAGTTTCTAGATTTCCTCATAAGGATGCAGCCAGCAGGGACTCCAGAAGCCAAACTCACTGCCAGTGAGTTGGATCTGACCCACAGTGACCCCTCCTTGGGTTTCCCAGGCAGTAGCACTACTGAAGTAGATTGCCCAATCTCCTTCCGAGGAGAGGCTGGTGGGTTTGAACCGACAGCCTTGTGTTTAGCAGTCAGATGCCTTAGGCACTAGTCCATCAGAGCTCCTGGCAAGGAAGCTGGGCCCTTTTGTGTCTCGCGCATCCATCTCTGGGCTAAGGAGCCCTGGCCGTGCCGTGGTTGGGCTGCAGGTCATACCCACCCAGTGGTTCCCCGGCAGAAAGGCCTGGCGATCTGTTGTAAAGATTACAGCCTCGCAAACCCCATGGGGCAGCTCTGCCCTGTCCTGTCGGGTCGCTGTGCGTGGGAACTGACTCCTTGGCCCACAGCCTCATCGCTGAGATCCATCTTACGATCACGAAGATCCAAGCCAGCTGCTGGGGCACCTCGGCCCTGCCTCCTCCCACCACGCTCTCCTGACTGGCTGCTGATGACGAAACCGCCATGTCGGGCCTGTGATTGGTCCGGCGGATGAGGGCCCGAGATTGACAAGGGCAGATGGCGCCAAGGGGAATGCGAGCCTCGGTGGGCAGCTGGGGCTGGGGCTGCTGCCATCCTCGCCCCCCCGCCCCCCATTAAGGACTGGCGGGGGGTAAGAAATGATCCTTGATGCTGGGGAGCAGGGAGTAATCATATGAGACAATCTTCCGGGCCGCGGGGTGGGGGCGCACTGCAAGCGCTCAGCCATACCCACGGGGCAGAGGCGTGTCCTGAGTGAACCCCCTCCCATTCTGCGCCCTGGAGCAAAGAGCTGATTCGGAATTTCATTCACTCTGCAAAAATGTTCCCTAACTCAGGGTGCATCCTATGCGGGGTGGCTGCCTGTCGGAGCCAACCATGTGATGGGGGAGGCGCTTTCGCCACCAGGCAGGCTTCCTGGAGGAAGCGCCCTTTATGAGCAGGAGGGCCTGGCCAAGTAGAGGGCAAAGAAGAGAGGCCAGGGGGAGGGAACAGTGCAGCAAAGGCCAGGAGGGCGGAGGGCTCTGGTTTGGGGTCCTGGATGAGGCGGACTCTTAAGAAAGACGGCTGAGGCCGAGCATCTTGGTGAGGAGTGTCCACTGTCCTGCCAGCGCTTGAACAGGCCCCATGTGGACCCCCACACTCACACAAGCTCCTCTTTCGTGTCCTAACTGCTGCTCACCTGGCCCCAGAGCTTAGATCTCAGAGCTAGGGACTGGGTCCCTGTTCGTGCCTGGCGCAATGTTGCTTTCTCTGATTCCTCTCCATGCATGTGTACACATGTGAACCCGTACACACAGTGACGTGTGTTCATGGGGCATGAGTACACAAACGTGCACAGAGCTCACACACACACACACACAAATAGACGTGGACAGACGCATGCAAAGATGCAGGTACACATGCAAGTGTGCAGACATGCACACACAACACATAAGTGCTCACAAGCGTGCATACACAATTACATGTGTTCAGACATGCACATACATGCTCAAGGCATGTACACAAGCACACACATTTAAATGAGCACCGCACACACGCATAGACAGACATGCACACACAGATATATATAGATGATGGTGCCCAGATGTCCACAGCCCAGCCCCTGAGAACAACTGGCACCACCTGGTCACTTTCTACCTCCAGTCACTTAGTCCAGCCTCTGAATCCACACTTTCCTTTGCCTCCAGCACCTCATTTCCTCCGTTTTCCAAGATCGAGCTGGTGGTGTCCCCTCCCCTGCTCCAGCTGGGTCAGGACCTGCCAGGAAACTCCAAAGCCCTGAAAGCAGGTCTCCCTAAAGCCCGACCCCAATTGCTCAGACAGGGGCACTGAGGCCTAGAGGGCCCCAGGAGTCCTGACAGCTGGGTACTCGTTACTCAGTCTGGATGGGGAGCCCAAGGCACCAGGATTCACAAAAAATGCTCCCAACAAACTGACAAAAAGGCAGAAGTCAGTCACTTGTTATCGGTGATCACAGTGAATGGAAATGTCCCAATCATAAGAGAGTGCAGAGTAGATTAAAAAAACAAAACCCAACTACATGCTGTTTCCAAGAGACACACCGTAAACCCAAGGAAAAAAATAAGCTGAAAGTGAAAGAATGGAAAATACTTCATGTGAATAATAACCAAGAGAGAACTAGGGTGGAATCTTAGCTACCCCCCCACCCCACTGCCCCCCCAACAATTAAAAAAAAAACCCTCACTACTGTTGAGTCGGATCCAACTCATGGCTACCCCTCCTTGGGTTTCCAAGGTAGTATCTCTACGAAAGTAGATTGCCCAATCTTCCTTCCAAGGAGTGGCTGGTAGGTTTGAATTGCCAGCCTCCTGGTTAGCAGTCAAATGCCTTAGTAGACTTCTAAGACACTCTGTTAGAAGAAATAAAGATGGGCATTATGTAGTGATAAAAGAGTCAAGAAATCAAGAAGACTTAATCATAACTATATAGACACCAGCATCGGGGCACCTGAATATATAAACCAAATACTGATAGAACTGAAGAGAGAACTAGACAGTATTATGGTAACAGTTGGAGTTCAATACACAACTTTCACTACTGAACAAAATATCTAGAAAGATCAACAAGGAAACACAGGACTTGAATGACACTGTAAACCAACTAGACTCAACAGGCATTATAGGACACTCCACCCACAAACAGCACAGAATACATTCTACTCCAGTGCACATGGGTTGTTCTCTACGATAGACCACATGTTAGGTCACAAAGCAAGTCTTCATAAATTTTAAAAGATTGAAATCATACAAAGTATTTTCTCTGACCACAGAAAGTGTAGGTATCAATAACAGAAAAAAAAAAAATCCTGGAAACTACACAAATACATGGAAATTACACAACACACTATTAAAGTACCAATGGGTCAAAGAAGAAATCAAAAGAGAAATCACAAATTTCTTAGAGCAAAATGAAAATGAAAGCACAATATTCCAAAACTTATGGGATACAGCCAATGCATTACTCAGAGGGAAATTCATAGCACTAAATGCATACATAAGAGAGGAGAGAGCTCAAGTTCACAGCAGGTATCAGAAAGAGCAAACTAAGACTAAACCTACCAGAAGAAAGGAAATAAAAATCACAGCAGTGAATAAAATCGAAAAGAGAAAAACAATCATCAATAAAACCAGAAGTTGGTTCTTTGAAAAGATCCATAAAATAGACAAACCTTTAGGTAGATTGACAAAGATGCAAAAATAATAAAATAAAAAATGAAATTACATTATAACTGAGTTGACAGAAATAAAGAGAATCGGGACAGAACCTATGAACAGCTGTATGACAATACACTGGATAGCCTAGGTGAACTGGACACATTCTTAGAAGTGCACAACCTACACAAACTGACTCAAGAGGAAATAGAAAGTCTCAACAGACCCTTAACAAGTGAAGACATCGAATCAGTGATCAAAAACCACTCAACAAGAACAACAACAAATCCTGGGCCAGATGGCTT